TTTCTTCGAACCAAATGTTACTAGTAAATTTTACGGTTATGGTTAACTTTAAACGATATACTTTAAAGGATAAATATGACAACTCAACACTGAACACAACATTTATCACACAACAACTAAAAATGGTTAAAAGTTAGTTGAAACTTTCTTTTAATACCTAACTTCCTCTGCTCCAAATGAGTCACGAGGCGGGCATTTCCCTCATTCCCACTCCCTAATGGAGACAACGACCTAACAGTTTTTGGCGGTCACACTACAAAAAATAATGTCCAAAACTTTGTGCACTCAGTCTCAGCTATATGTGACCTTTGGTTAGTGTTATTCTACTCTATGGGGCTGGGCCAAGAAAACGAAGGAAGCTCACAGTGAATGCACGCGAGTCTAAAGCCAGTCTAAAAAACACAAACACCCAGTACTTTAACTGAAACAACAACCGACAGAACTTGACACCTTTTGTTTAGAGATAGCGAGAGCCAGTTTCCCCTCTGTCCCCAGTCTATCCCGTAGACTACTCGATGTCAAGTTCAGAACCTGAGCAAATTTCATAACCATAAACTCTCTTGTGAAGATTTTGATTTTTGACCTCCACCCATCCCTCCACCCCCCTACCCTCGACCAAACAACGAAGAAACTTTAATATCCCCCCCCCCCCCCAACCAACCAAACCTTCAAATATCCTCCTTCTAAAAAGATACAGAACAAAATCCCTAAGAATAAAAAGAACCCAAAGCTCTATAAGACTGTCATAAGACTTGAGTGAGTGCATCCACGTGGGCAGCTTCTTCCGCAAGAAAAAGGGTTAAACAGAACGGTCAAGAGGGACGGTTAGATTCTAGAGACTGGTGCACATCCTAACTTAGCCAAAACTAAGGCGTCTTATCTAGGTAGTGCTAAAAAGTAAATAATAAGTAACACACAAGTTCATACAAACAATCAAAACACACACAGGACTAGACAAACAATCTAACACACACCCAGAACTAGGACTAACGGATATGTAAACAAATTAATTAAGTAAAAGACATACATAAATACACAAATAACGACTACGCAAAGATGAGAGAGAGAGAGAGAGAGAGAGAGAATCTAAAGGACAAGAAAACAAACCAAAAAGAGAGAAAAAAAGAAACTCATTCTTACCTTGAAAGGACTCATAGGCCGCCTTTTCCTTGTCTCGGGTCCGCTATAGCCGGGTGTAGTCCTCCACTTCATCACCATCGCGGAGCTGTCGCTTGCCTGTCTTGCCAGTCCGAAGTCTGCCAGGACAGCACGGTCCTGGTCATCCAAGAGAATGTTTCGCGGCTTGACGTCTTGGTGGAAGATGTGGAGACCGTGGATGTACTGCAGAGCGCTGGCCACGTCGAGAATGTGTCGGAGGATCCGTGGTTCTTCCACAGGGTGGTCGGACGACATGGTGTCGCGAAGTGTGCCGTTCTTGAAGTATGTCGACAACATGAAGCCGTGGTGATCATCCATAGCAAACGCTATCATCTTGAGGATGCGGGGGTGGCGCAAATCACGAAGGAAGCCGACTTCAGAGAGAAAGTCGCCTTTACACCCCTCCGTCTCAAAAGTTACGATTTTCACCGCTACTTTCAACGACGAGTTGTGTTTGGCCGAGGCCAGAACAACCTCTCCTACGGCGCCACTCCCTAGACAGGGGCCTCTCACAAGGTTGAAGGAGTTGAAAAAAGCGTCGTGCTGTTCAACGGCATCCATGCTGGGTCGTGCAACTTCGGTGATATGAAACGATGATAATCTCCACAAACGATACGTATCCTCGGAACGTCCAGAGAAAAGTGACCACTTGCTGACCAGCGTCCCTTATATACTCAGCCTGCTGGCCGGGAAGTGATTGAAGTTTTCTGTCCCTGATTAAGGAATTGTTGTAGTGTTTTGACATGTTCTTAGAGGACCCGGAGGTGAGAACCGGAGTCTTGGCCTGCCTTTGTTTATTGTTTTAAAAGATATATAGAAGCTGGTCTTTAAGCAAAGTAAATATTATTGGAGTTTGGTTACCACTCTTGAAGTTAACAAGTCTATTGTCCTATTGTCTAGTGACTGCCAGTGAGCTCGTGCCATCTGGTGAAATGCACAGACAAGGGGAGCAAACTGCGTATGTTGTAAGCACGGCGGTTTGCATCAAACACATGCCAACAGCTAAGCCTCTATTATGTACCGGGCTGGCTGGCCGGGAAGTGATTCAAGTTTTCAGTCTGTGGTTACGGCATTGTTGCGCTGTTTTGATAAAGTCTTAGAGGGTCGGGAGGGGAGAACCAGGGTCTTGGCCTGCTTTTGTTTGTTGTTTTTTTGTTTTTGTTGTTTTTCAGAGGCCCTTGAGGTCTTCTGGTTTGAAAGGGATTTCTAAAAATGTTGGAATATTGTGCCTTGTTTCGCTGGTGAATGAATGGAAATCAGTGAGGTTTTTCAAATTTGCAAAAAATATTTCTGAAGTTCGTTTTGTTTGTCTAGCTGAAACATAAGATAGAGCAAATGTTTTTTGTTTAAGGCTAACGTAATTCAAAATTTACCAGCTTAAAAAGAAATGTTTGTTGCAATAAGATACACATAATTAAGAACTAGTTTTACTTGTCTATTTCATTTCTACTTCGCCTTCATCGGTGCCGAACTGATAAATAAGACAAAGCAATTGCCATGTATTTTATCAAGGAAGAAAAATGGAAACCAGTCTTTGTACTCAGGAATTATTACTGGAGTTAGGATTTCATGTCTGACATTATTGTATTGTCTTATTGTTGTTCTGGTGACACCAGTAAGATCTTTCCACCTGGTAAAATGCTCAGACAAGGGGAGCAAACTGCGTATGTTGTAATCCCGACGGCCTGCATCAAAGACATGCCAACAGCTCAGCGTCTATTATGTACCGGGCTGGCTGGCCGGGAAGTGATTCAAGTTTTCAGTCTGTGG